TTACGCGATGATCATAACTGATGACTTATGTTTGTTGAGGGTTTTTTCATCACGCAGTGGGTAGCGATACATGTAGTTCATTAGCCATTGAAGATGGCTGTCGATCGTGTAGTCCAATCCGGTGCAAACGTTGAAAGTGTTGTCGCAGTAGTAGCCGTGAGCGCATTTCTGTCCATAGACGTCATATTCCATTTTTTCCGTGCACTGTTGCCCGGGACCCTGAAAAAAATTACATGTAAATTACACTTATACATGAACATGTGTTAAAAGCTACATGTTTACCGCAAGCAAATAATTGAATTATATAATATACTGAACTATATTATAACAGACATCATTTTATAAGGTGACTGTGACCAAAATCTATACAAATAAATACAATTGAAGTGTCTGTTTGTAATGTCAAAATAACAACTTTTTACTAATTTCATATGAAAGTATATACGGTACTTATAACAAAATCACAATTTTTTAAATTTTTGCCAGTCTGTCTGCCTGTTTGTTCCGGCTAATCTCCGAAACGGCTGGACCGATTTTGACGGGACTTTCACTGTTAGATAGCTCATGTTACAAGGAGTAACTTATGATACTTATATTAAAAAAATTAGGGCGCGCAATAAAACTAAAACCCTAAACAACACGTCACGGGGAACAGCTAGTATATAATAAAAAATATAAAAAATCGAAAAGGTACTCTCATAAAAAAAACATGCGTGAGTGTCGTGGAATACTCCGTTGGAACGAAGTTCCTATCGCATTTTTTTTTAAATACTAGTAATGCTATTAAACATTACTAATATTACCTTAAACCACTTCTGGTAAGCTTAAAATGATTGTGCTAGAAGTCGACGACAGTAGTCGAATGGCGGATTCGAACCCACGACCTTTCGTGTTCGCGGTCCGCGCCCTGCCATTAGGCTACTGATGCTTCTAATATATTATTATTGATAAACGTATTATATTATTGATTAATAAATACAAATAAATTAATTACTAGCGTCGTTATAATGAAGCATCATTTAAAATAAAATAATATTTCTTTCATGGCGAGATAAGAAAAAGTGCGAGGGAGATGAATATCACCTATTCGATCTCGCTTCCTTATAGCTGCCAAGGCCATCTACACTACGTCAGAAGGGGTCGTGACGGAAAAATCTTACACTTTTTCTCGCCTAGCCCCCATCCGCCAAATTCGTACCTTCTGATAAAAAACGCGCGTGTACCGCGTGAAAAATGGTGGTATATTCAGAGATTTTAATAGAAACATGATAATATTAGGTACTGAATATAATAAGACTTCGTCACGGTTTGTCCTGCTTACTGACGTCCGATCGTAATACAGACACCACACGAATGGTGCTTCAGGTTGCCACTGCGACCGCGGTGGTGTGTTGTTGCAGCGGCCGGAGCCGCGGCTCGCGGTTAGCCGCCACCGCAAGCCTCTTGTGTGTGGGAGACGCTTCAAGCGTCTCTACTCTCTACAGAGAACGTCTCCTTGAACGAACGCTTGCAATGTAAGTGAGTCTGCAAACTCGTGCAGCCATGGAGCGGTCTGCCAGCGGCTGGCTGCGGCCGCATGCTCCGCCCCCTCCGCCTTCGCGTGTATGTTAGCGAGTACGCGGTCTGTCGCTGGCCGCAGCGAGGTCAGTTGCAAATTTTTACAACAGGCCGCGTGTACCGCGTGACAAATGGTGCTAAATTCAGAGATTTTAATAGAAACAGTGCAAAAGTTTTTTACGTGGTAGAGCCATGCTGCAGCTATATTAGTAGTATAGTTGTAGCACGAATGGGCCGGCTCTATCGGGGAAGGACCACGCTCTCACAGAATACCAGCGTAAAATAGCAGCTTAACACTGCTGTGTTTCGTATGGTGAGTGTAGAGAACCGGAGACCCTTTTTACTGGAAAAGAGGCATTCCATCTTAGTCCTCAGGGGTGACAACGCATCTGCATTTTGATTCGCAAACGAGGATAAATGTAGATGTCTATGGGCCACTAAAAAAAAAATCCAGTACTTTATGATAATTCACATCGTGATCACAAAATTATTAGGATTAAAAACAAAATATACGATAATATTGCTGAATACAATAAGGCTTCGTCACAGTTTGTCATGTTTACTGACGTCCGATCGTAGCACAGACACCACAGCGAGTGGCTCTTCAGGCCGCCACTTCGGCCGCAGTGGTGTGTTGATGCAGCGGCTGGAGCCGCGGCTCGCGGGTAGCCGCCACCGCAAGCCGCTTGTGTGTGGGAGTGGGAGACGCTTCAAGCGTTACAATATGCTTATTTTCACGTTTTTATCACAGTATTGACACAATATTAATTTATAACAAACTAAGACTGTGATACTGATCTTGATAGATTAGATAAAATATTCAAAACTAAATCTTAAATAAAACTTTATCAGTTAATGAATATTAGGATTGCTTGTTTAGTTTTTAAAAGAAAAGCACATGACTATGAAAATTAATCTAAACATGGTTTTTTCTCAAATAAATATAATATCTACCCTGTAGCAATCACGTCGGTTGCCGCAGATCTCGTTGATATATGTACCAAATTCACATTTCTTGTATTGTTTGTTACCCCTGACAATGTTGCATTCTTCTCGGCTAGGCAGCAAACTGGTGGTCTCGCATACTGGGCACTCCACTAGGACTCTATTGTATAAAATGTAACAAGTTATCGTTAGTAAAAAAAAGTGGTGAAATATCTAAAGAATAGAATAGAATAAAATATAATAATTTTTATTCGACATAAATTACAAGTAATACTTGTTGAAAGTCATATTTTTACCACTGGTCCGTAAAAATCCTCTGCACTGAGAAGATCCAGCAAGAAAGAAACCCAGCGGTAGTCTTTTTATAAATATTAATTTATAACAATTTACAATGTAGATATTGATTTAAGTATCTCTAAAAGGTAGGCCTAAAATAATAGGCTCAGTTGTGTCTGTGGAGTGGACTTCTGGTACTTAATTAGCAAGCGTGGGAAATATACCTAATCTTACAATAAACTTTTATTAAAAAGAAACGTAGTGCGTTTAGGTAAAACTTAAAATTACTTAAAATTTTTAGAGCCTTCCACTTTTACAATAATGAGTAGGTTCGAACGAGTAGAACGACACTTAATATTGCACTTACACTTGCACTGTGCAAATACAATGCAAATACTAGTAATCTTTTTTTTATAGAAGAGGGGGGCAAACGATCATGCGGCTCATCTGATGGTAAGTGACTACCGCCGTCCATGAACAACTGCAACACCAGGGGAATCGCAGATGCGTTGCCGGCTTTTTAAAAAGGAGTAGGCTCTTTTCTTAAAGGTTCCTAAGCTGTATCGGTCCGGAAAATGTGCTGATGGTAATCGATTCCACAAGGAAATTGTACGAGGAAGAAAACTTCTTCTAAATTGGAACGCCAATCATCCAGATGGTATGGATGGGATCGCGAGATTTGTCACTATGTGCGATGGTGAAATTGAGCGGCTGGAATTAGTCCGAACAATTCCTCAGAGTACTCCCCGTGATAGATGCGATAAAATACGCAAAGAGATGCAACATCTCTACGCAGTGCCACTGAGTCAAGCCGATCGGAAAAAACTCGGTCGTTGACGATTCGAACCGCTCTGCGCTGGATGCTGTGAAGTGGAAGATGCTGGCACTGGGGAGCCTCTGCCCAGAGATGGAAACAGTATTCCATGTGAGGCCGAATCTGCGCCTTGTAAAGTTGCAAGCGGTGTGCCGGTATGAAATACTGTTTTGATCTGCTGAACACGCCAAGCTTTTTAGAGGCCAATTTGGCCTTCTCTTCCAAGTGACCATGAAACTGCAAGTCACTCGATATGTCAACACTGGCTGAGGCAACAAGGGGAGTGCCTTCTTAATTTATTCTGAACAATTGAAAGCAAGCGAAAATATTATTAAGCCGCCGTAATCGCTATAGACCAACCAATGCTCGACTACAATTTCCTCTGGTGATAAATCTCTGGTGCCTTAATGACTACTGTTGAGCGGTGTACGAGATTGGTTCTATTAATCATTGTAACATATAATCTATATTTATTAGATGTTTTAATTTAAATATAATGAAATGCAATTACCCGTCAAGATCATCATGGGGCTCCTCGCGCTCTATCATATTGCGACCTTCATACCCTCCTCTGTAGTGAGCCAGGCATGTAGTGCAGGCAATAAGCAGGATATAGACCAGAAGATGCATGTTCCTCGGAGTTCTAAATAATTATTTTAAAAATTTGAAAAAATTCATACACTCAAAAATACTTACATCTTTAAATAATGTTCATCCATATTTCCTTTATCTTTTTCATAAATTTCAGTAAATATATCCTTAATATCATAATGCAGTTAAGAAGGACCTTCTATCTTTTTTCCGTGAATAATCTAGAAGCTAACTAGACAACGTAACAACTATAAGGGCTAACTACTAAGCCCTCACTGATATAAGTAGTACTGCCGCTAACTCCATCATCCTCTGTCAAGTCGAGTCATCTGTCAAGCGCGACAGATACTTATTAAGGGTTACGAGTCAAATACAGACTCTGTCCTTGCTTACTAGATGAAGATGATGATGATGATAAAATTGATAGAGACATTACGTTTGTGTTTTTTTTTTATTACAGCAGTAAGGGTATTTTACAGCAACAAACGAGCACATAGTCTTAATGATGGTACGTGGATGCTGTGGCACATCGACACCTAAATCAATCCTAGATTAAGAAACAACATGTAGATGCGTTATCAGCCCTGAAGACTGAGACTGGATGCCTAGTTTCTACGCCTCTACCAAGCCGCTCTATTTCAGTTTTCATATTTAGTTTTGTACATCCAGTTGTCGCAATGTATCTTCTTCTTAATTTATATATAGTTATCTGCTACTAAATTCATTACACTACTATTTTATAACAGAAAAAAATTAAGGGCGTACTTAGTAACTGAAATATTTAAAATCAAAGTCATCAATACCAAAATTTTCTAAATTACAGCTATAGCAAGCGCAGGCGGGAGAATTTTACTGACAGTAGGTACATGGAATGGTGGTAGACTACAACTTGTAGTATTCTAGTGCAATGACAATTCAGTAAAGAGAATAAATACAGTTCCTTTGCTACTAAGAAAATCTAATATCTGATTCCACATAATATGTAGTAGCGGTTCCGTATAAGCCCCTAATATTTTTCTGGTGATCAAAATAAATATTTGTGTTTTAGCATATTCTTTTCACCAGCTCGTAAAAACTTACTGTAGATAATCTATATATTACCTGATGTCGGTGTTGGGAGGATAATATTATGTAACCTGTGGCGAGGATTTGTCGCTTCTTCATATAGAGTATGGGCGGTCTGTGATATTATATAAAGATATAACCATATTATAGTATAAGATGGTTATATCTTTAGAAATCTATAAGATTTGTTTTGGCATTTACCCCAGTCGCCCTTTACGACGATAAATAATTAAAACTTAGCATGTGGTGGCGATCTAAGAGTGTGTAAACTAATTAAATAAATTAATGCAGTAGAATCTGAGTAATAAAAATATTTAAAACATAGCCGATAAATGTATTTACGCACCGGCCATCGATCTGAATGCAAATTTTTGTCGATTGCCATAAATAGAATCGAATGGAGGAGTCTTCTTCTCCGTTTGATTCTCTCCATGCAGTTGGTAAATTAAATTAAAAGTATATTTACATAATACACATAATCACTAACGCACTCACAACCTATGTATGTTTGTAAAGTTAATACATAAATAGTTTTTATACATAACAGAAGTAACAATTTATAAAGTATGGCCTATTTTTATAAGATGGGATTGAAATTTTGTCAGACACCTCCAAAATCTTAGTAGATTATTAAATAAATAAGATGGGGAAGAATTGTTATATTGCAGGTTACTTTAAAGCCTTATATTTTGGAAAATAAATTAAATACAAAAAAAAAATACCAAAATAGGTTATGGAATCTGATGTTTATTTTAAAGACATTATTTATTATTCCGATTATACCTTACTCAAGCTGTAAAGCTGAAAATCGGTTGAGATTACGGATTATCACTCTTTGTTTACATATACAAAAAATTATAATCCATGCTTTGGAAATATATTATAATACTAGCTGTTCCCCGCGACTTCGTTCGCGTGTTAGGGTTTTTATGTTTCTGCGCGGAACCCTGATTCTTTTTCTAAAATAAAAGTAGCCTATGTTACTCCTTATGAAATCAGCTATCTGCCAGTGAAAGTCCCGTCAAAATCGGTCCAGCCGTTTCGGAGATTACCCGGAACAAACAGACAGACAGACAGACAGACAGACAGACAGACAAAAATTTTAAAAATTGTATTTTAGTTATAGGTATCGTATTTACTTTCATATGCATTTAGTAAAAAACTGTAATTTTGACATTACAAACAGACACTTCAATTTTATTTATTTGTATAGTAATATTTGTAATATTTCAAAATATAGTATTTTCTAAGAAATAGCTACATTGATAATTACTCAATAATTTTTCTTGGTAATTTACGAGGAAAATAATTATTATGAGTACATTTGATAGCGTGTGTATCAGTGGCTATTTTTAAAATATCTAATATATACGTTTCAATAACTAAATTCTCTAAATTCTTTAGTGTTTATGAATGAACTAGTAAACGTTCCAAAATTAGACTAATAGAAACTGAAAACTGTGGGACGGTACAAAGTTCGTAGCGGAGAATTTCTGTCACAGACAAAGTCACTCATTATGTCACGAGCTTGTACTCGTATTTAAAGGAAACAATTATACTAAGACGTTGAATAAACTAGAAGTAGTCGTGAACGCATGATATTTTTAGAAGTTTACACTCAGATTGTTATTGTGAATTGGCATACGCCGCCAATGACGTCTAGGTATGCCTCAGGCTGCAATCGTGACCGTTAACACGTTTAAATTTGGGTCTATAATATACATTTGCATTTTTATTAAAAATGAAGAAGATGTCTAAGGTGAAGAATTCATACTTGCATATTTCGCCATTGCACGCAATATCACAGTATTTGCGTGTATAATTGCATTGTTGCTCCGAAAAATTTTAGCCTCAGGCTCACATTTTATTGTGGTTGAGGATCAAGACACAATAAAGTGATGAAAATACTCGTTAGTCCTTGAGTTAATCTCATGACCCGAATGCACGTTAGTGCTTGATATTTTGTTAGTAACAATATTTGAATTGTGTCTGATGCGTTACAGAAACAATCTGCTATCCATTGTCACCGAATGTCCTAAAATTTGTGTACCTTGAAATAGTGAAGATGTTGTTCAAAAGTGATTGATCCAAATTTTTACAAAATTATTTTGATACTTATTATAAAGAATCGCCGTGTAGTGGCTGTGTAAGAATATCCACTACCCCATATCATGCCGTGGGTGTCGTGAGAGGCCACAGAAGAAAAAAAAATCACGAGGTGGGCAGTAGCGTCTCCCTAATAACGATTACAAATACAAACCTGCGGTCGCCAACCCGCTTGCCAAGCGTGGCAACTATACCAAATATCCCCCTTTGACGAAATCTGTGGGGGAGGCCTATGTTCAACAATGGGTTCTAATAGGCTGTAACGGTAACGGTATAAAGAATCTATACGTCGGTATACCAATTTATTTTTTACTACATCACGAGTCTATCCAAAAATAATTTATGAAACCTTTTTATATGACGTACGTTTACTGTAAATAAAATTAGGCCCAATCGTAAATATGGAAATGGAGTGAGTAATAAAATTCGAAAGGTTCTTGTCCTTCGAGTCACTGACATTGGATTAAATTTAAATGCAGACGTCATTATATAAACCCAAAGATTAATTTGACCTGGATTAACCTATGAATTTTTTGGTTTTTGAAAGAGTTGCCATTATGTGTATATTATTCATATTATTCAGATATGGATTTGGAGTTAGCTATGTAAATAAAAATAAATTACTGCAATTGGCACGTTCGAAGAAAACATAATATAATGATTTCGTCTGCGCATGCGGCGCCCGCCCAAAAGAAAATCATATTTACGCATTCGTGTTTCAGACTTCATGTGATACAGAACTACTTCCAGTAAAGCTGTGTTTTAAAAGAATAAATTAACTTTTACGTATATTATAATACAAGCCATAGTTTTCTTTTCAAGAAGTGTGTAGTGAAACTGTAAAGATAAATTTTTAATATGGGTATGATTTCACGTGTGCGAGGCCGAATAAGAAGTGACTCTTTCTCGAAGATTCACACGATGAAATCGGAGGATAAAATAGCTAACATTGGTAAGAAAACAGAAATGCATCATTTTTTGTCGTTATATGGAAGTTAAAGCGCAACATTATTATATATTGTGTAAATATTTCACATCATTATAAAATTTTTGTAAAATTCTATTTGAAGATGTTTTTGTTATTGCTTTCGTCTTTTTGTGTATTCACGTGCTGCGATATTTATACATTTGGTGGCTCAATATTTTCTGTGTTTGGCTGCATCACTGAGGGTCGCGATTCCTGCACGCAATGAACATTAGCTGGGCCTACAAATATTTTTTTTTTCAAAATAGGTATAATCCTATAGTTTGCCTGTAGATATACATTAAAGATGTCTCTAGAAAAACATAGGCTACCTTTCTAAAGTTTGATTTAGTGAAAAAGAGTACTGAATTAAACAACAATATTGTCGCATGTATTTCATTGCAATTTTTTTTCATTTTCGAGTTCCGTTTAAATGTTTTAATTTTTTTAAGGATATCAAGAAAATGTTTGCTTTATAGAAGGAATTCGTCCTTCTTGTAATTACATAACATTTATTACGTATTACATGTGCATTAACGACCCTTTGATGTTCTCTCTACAACATATATTGGCTACTCATAGCTTTATTCGCGTAAACATTCAAATAAAAATATTTAAATTATATTTATGGAACAAAGACTGAAGCTATTTATTTGATCGTGACTTACGTCTCGAACATTGAAAGATCATTTATAAAAAAAAAAAATATTTTTCAACAACGCATTTTCAGTCGTTTGGGTTATTTGTGTTTATAGTGTGTAACACAGTTAACGTTTTTCTTTTCATTATACAAATGGTGACAAACGAGCACATTGTGTAAGTGATGTTAAGTGGATGCTATGGCCCAAAGACAAGTCTTGATTAAGAATCAAAAAGCAGATGCGCTGTCACCCCTAAGGACTGA